ATCGCCCCTACATTGCGGAATGGCCGCATATGAGATATTATGCCGAGGTTCCTATATATAGTGAGTTGTTCGATCAGTTTATTCGTTGAAAATAGCTTTCTTGGGCATTCAGTCATCCTCAGATTTGTTCGCAGGCCTCTCATGTCTATCTATCCACTAGCCATGAAAAGCCTGAACAACTGGACTAACATTGCTACACATTTGGGTTTCACTTTCCTCATCAAAAACGTACTTGTCGGATTGCCATTGTCTGTATCTCAAGGCTGCGAAACAATTCTCAAAACTAGCATTGGTTCTGACTCCACAACTTTACTAGGTCCGGAAAATATTGTAATAGGAACATATTGTGTAGTAGACAACAAACCACGAATGGAGGGACTAGATGAGGAGGGATTTATCATATTAAATGAGATTGCAAAAGCAATTATGAGTCACCTCGTTCTCATCGAAAAACAAGACCATCTAGAAAGGGGAGAGAAGATGGTTAAAGGCTTGGGGCTTTTTGTCGCTGGTAAATCCAACTTAGGCGAAGGATTAAAAGATACATCTCAAAATGGAATGGATCCTCAGAATGCGTCTCATTCCCATCCAATTGACACATCTGGCCCATCATCAATAACAACAGAAAAAATGGAGATCCACCAAACACAAGTGAATTGCATTAGCCCACCAGATCAAACAAACGAGTTATCTTCTCTTTCGTCTGGATTCGAAAAGGCTAGAATAATCGAGAAAAATAGGCCCAGTATAAGTAGAACTTCTTCGGCGGAATCCGCGCGACAAGAAACCTTTGCGATCACGAGACTCAAACAGGTATTCTCCCGAGCGAGTCAACTTATACTTGAGGCTATGAGTCTTGATGGAGTTGTATTTGTTGATGCATGCTTCAGAGATTCGGCAAGCAAACTTGCATCCAAGAATAAGACCGTTTTCGGTGCAACTCATGATAAGTCTCAAGGCTGGACTCAAAATAAAGATGTGATCAGAGTGCCAGTTTTCTTGGATGAGATGAAATCTGAAGGTAGACGAGCAGGGAAGGTTTTAACAAGTGATTTACTTGGATGCAAAATCAGACATGATCAGAATTCCTCTCATTTGGATGAGCCTACGAATATCACCCTCACACAGGCGACTGTTAAGGGCTTAATGAAATGTTATAGCCAAGGTCGAATTTTTGTTTTACATGAAGATGGATCTTTAAATCTGGATCTAGAACCAGAGTCATTCGAAATTTGCGAGAATGGAAATGTTGAGCCTGATAGAGAATTGGTCGCAGCTTGGGTCGCAGAGCTGATAAAAATTTGTCCCGGTGCACGCACAGTTGTGTTTTTTCCTCTGAGAGACCAACAGCGAGAGTGAGTATTTATATATGCTGCTATAACTTCTATCATTCGTGAGAGGCAAGAATTATGGCCTGTAGCCTCTCCTAAAACTGTTTTCTGAACATTACTCCGTCAGTAAATATTCATGTCTAATCATGTGCATAGTCAGTGGTTTGCGGGAAGCTTTGTATGGACAACAAGAGAACTCAGAGTTATGACCGCTGAGGATATCACCTATCTTACAGCTTTTGGGAACTGTATCATGGCGGAAAAGTCTCGTCTAGACTCTGAACTTGCAGATCGCTCCAAATCCGACTTCATCTCTGTGGTATCTCATGAACTACGCTCGCCGCTTCATGGGTTCGTATTCGATTGTCTCTCTAATATGAGCTACCAAGCTAACCTCCCCATCAAGTGTATTAGCCAGTGCAGAAGCACTTCGAGATACTTCGACTGGCGATGAACAAGATGATATGATTCGTTCTATCACCATTTGTGGTGAAGTTTTGTTGGATACCATGGATCACATGTAAGAAAAAGCTTGGTTTATAGAATTAAACACTGCTAACCCAATAAACAGTCTGGACTACGCAAAGATTACAAAAAAAGGAGACACTAAGTATATGAAGGACCTCCCAGTACAATCGAACGGATTAAATGTCGACTTTGATCTTAGTAATCTCATTGAAACTGTCATCGAAGGAGTCTCGGCGGCACAAAGTTTTCGACAGTTAACTTTCGAGGGTCCACTTTCCGTCGATACCACTCACCTAGATGCGATCTCAGATGAAAACCACACGTCAGATAATGTTGTAATTGTTCTTGAGATTGATTGGCAAAGCTCGTGGACCTTTAACTCTCATATAAGTAGTTGGAGACGAATTTTGATCAATCTTTTCCAAAATGCACTCAAATACACCGAGTTTGGGTATGTTCAAGTTCGTTTGACAGCTTATGAAACAGCGGACGGTCAAGTTGCGAGATTGTCTGTTGTAGATTCCGGGAAAGGTATATCCAATAATTATTTGAAGTACGAATTATGGACCCCTTTTGTACAAGAAGATCCTATGAGCATTGGTACAGGATTGGGCCTCTGCATCGTTGGCAAATTAGTAGATGAGCTCGACGGGACAATTGATATATCAAGTATAGTTGGTGTGGGTACAGTTGCCCAAGTGGAAATTCCAGTCAAACATTCGACAGCATTTGATGAGGATGAAGAGACAGACAGCAACAAACTGATACGAGAGACAAGAGATCGTTGCCGAGGATTATCGATATGTTTTCTCGGTCTTGATAACTATCCGGATCCATGCGAGATACCTACAGATGTGCGGTCTGCACAGGATAGAAAAATGACTGCGATCAAGTCCGCGTTGGTAAATTATGCCGGTGACTGGTTTGGAATGGTTATTCGAAAATCATGTTCTAGCGTATCTGCTAACGGTGTCATTTCTGTTTGTTTGGGATCACAACTTCATCGGACAGAACGAACTCGACGAAAACCTTTGATTGTATTTGAGGATACCACAAGAATGTTGGACAAAGAAGAAGGTGAATTTTATCTGACACAACCGTAAGTAATTGATCTTTCCCGCTGGGGTTTCGGAAAATCTTTTCTATCCACATTTGCCATTATTACCACATCATCATTCTTTCTGACCTGTCCCTAGCTTTGGTCCCTACAAATTAGCAAGGATTTTGGGACAATGTATCGACTATCTTCATTCCAAAGACGCTATACCAAATCACAATGATCGATCCAGTACATCGTCCAAAGTACCATTTAGCACAGGCTCCACCCCAATACTCACGCCATCTACTAGTGACTATCCCGACGTTAGGAATACCGAAATCAATTCAAAACATGTCGAAAAGGAAGAAAGACCCAAATTGGTCTTGTATCAGCGCTCCAGCGAATCTATAGAATCAGTGAGACCCAAATTCGAAGTACGTAAGCATTCAAATGAATCAACGGATTCGGCAGTCGACATGAGATCAAGTGAAGAGCCTGTCGTGACTTATGATTCCTTTCCTTTTCCAGAAGGATTGCCGCATTGGCCCAAGGTAGAGAATGGAGTACTTCAATTGATTGATATACAGGGGAAATTGAACGGAAAAGACATGATGGGACATGTAGCAATTAATGAGCCTGCCTTTTATAAGGCAGACGCGGTTTTGGAGGCACATACGACTTCAGAAATACCACTTGTGCTTGAAAACCCTTTGGGACTGGAAATTTCCTCAAATTTGGAGAAGCTGGCCATTACAGAAAACGTATCCGTTGCCCTGGAAAAATCCCAGATCGTTGAAAAGCTGTCAGCCATCGAGAGACCTTCGATAGTAGCCACTGATAAGTTTGGGATCGTTGAGCAGGGTCCGACTTCCTCGAAAGCAGCATCTAATGAAAAGCCAACAACAATTTCGGAGCCACTCATCCGCTCGAAACCAGCAGTTTTCGAGATCGCCAAGCCAGAACCAGAACTGGCATCAACATCAGAATCTTCTGCTGCACCAACCATCAAAAATCCTGCACGTACAGTTGTTCTTCTTGTTGAAGACAATGTCATCAATTTGAAAGTAAGCCTCCTTCTTCTTCCTTTCATCTCATAGCACCTAATTTCCAATATTCTGATGCTGCACCAGGTACTTGTCCACAGCATGAAAAAATTAAAAGAGACGCACGATACCGCATCTAACGGTCTCGAAGCATTCGAGAAATACAAAAAAGCACCCGAATCATTCAAATTAATTTTCATGGGTAATCTCCCTTCTCCTAACCCTAACCCTAACCCCTTTTCATCTCGAGTCAGCCCCCTACTAACCCCTCCCAGATATATCCATGCCCATAATGGACGGACTCACTTCCGCGCGTTACATCCGCGACCACGAAAGCCTCTACAATCTCCCCCGTGTGCGTATCGTTGCTTTGACATGTTTTGGTACCGAAGAACATCGTCGAGACGCTGCCATGAGCGGTATTGATATCTTTTTGACCAAGCCAATTAATATGAAGGGTTTGAAGCCGGTCGTTGATTTGAATCCAGAGAATGTGGAGGAGGGAGTGATGGCAGAGAAACTTTAAGTGTAACGACCATTTTTGTTATGATTGTTGTTGAATGTAAAAGATCATAGTGGATAGGGAAGGGATGGATTGGGTTGGATATATTTGGATGTTCGGAGTTTTGTATTTTGTTGTTGGCTGTGCTTGTAAGAATCAGGCTCAGTCATTTATTCACCTTCGGATGGGCTTTTCATGTATAATCGACGTAGTGTTCTTACCTTAAAAAATGAAACGTCTTTTACCACTAAGCAAGCCAATATGGATTTCGTGTAATTTGTCCCCTGGTTCATTCTGCTTCTTGGCACACCTTTTCCATGTCACTCAAACCCCAGATATGAACCAAAACCCAGATAAATCAAAAATACAAAATGAGTCATTATATCTCATCTATTTAAGCTTGTAGTAAACGATTAACCAATCCCAACACGCTACCAGAAACGAATGGTATCATTTATTTCATCCATCCATCTTCATCTTTCATGTATCATAGCACTGCTCTTCGTACAAAATTACAAGGTCGTTTCTTCCCGTTCTTCATTTTCTCTTCACTTTAGCCAATCCACTTCTCATGCTTGAACTTATAATACACCTTCACTACCCTCATCCCTCAGTCCTCAGCCCTGACTCCCACTACTTCCCCCGGCCTTATCCCCCATAACATCAATATATCCTCTCCCCTTCTTACCCTTTCTAACTGTTCCCTTCCTTGAACCCGCGGTAGGCGGCCCCAATAAATCATCAATACTGGATGCAGTGCTCATACCCGTACTTGGCCTAGTGGGCGGCGCACTTCCAGTACTCATCAATCCACTCAAATTTCCACCCATGGCACTCCCGTTACTCTGCGTCCTAGCCATTGCTGGGGCCATAGGAGACTTCACCAGCCCACCATCAGCTAAATTCCCAATGTCACTAGAACCACTACTAGCTCTTTGAGGTGGTGCACTTGCTGAGCTAACGGATCGTGGAGGCATGCTTAAATGGCCTGCAGCAATGGGCATCACGCTACCGCTAGCTGATCTTGGTGGACCTGTAGCTCTTGGTGGAGGTGGAGTTGCTGATGGAGTAGGGGTGTTTTCTGCCCCTGCTTTTTTATTGATCCATCTTTTGAGATCGGGATCATAGACAAAACTACTTTCTTCTCCAAGTTTAGCTCTAACGGCTTTCTTGTCTGGTACAGCATCGGACGAAGCGGTGTCCTTTTTACCACCTCCGAACCAACCAAGTCCCCAACCTTTCTTTTGTGGAGCGGGCTTTTTATCCTTTGCAGCTAAAGAGTTGTTAGTATCGTTTTAAGGCATTGAATCAAAAATGTACTCACCATCAGCTTCAGCAGCTTTGCGGAAAGCCTCATCTGCTTCTCTATCTTTCTCCACTTTAGTCTTTTCTCGACTTGTATCTACAGGCGCCTTCGATGCAGGAATGTCATCATCGTCATCATCCATGAAGCTTTTCTTTGGCTTTGTGCTGATCGGCGAATCAGGTTGTTCCATCGAATGAGGCTCATATGATGGAGGTTCGTATCCTGTGCTTAACGAGGGTGGCTCGTAAGAGCTTCCAGTCGGAGGCTCATATCCATTGCTAGATGGTTCATCACCTCCCATATGTGGTTGATACGAAGGTTGTCCATCAAAACTCATAGGTTGTGGTGAATCGAAATTGGTTGATGGAGTTTCCATTGCAGAAGGAATAGCTTGTGGAGTGTAAGGAGAATCACCACCAGTATATGGACTATAACCACTAGATTGAGGTGTGAAGCTAGAGGGTTGATTATATTGCTGAGAAGTTGGACGATATTCTGAAGACATTTGTCTTTGTGGTTCGTATATGTTTCGACGGAATTCGCCTGATGTTCTACCACCCTCAAATGAAGTTCTAGGCTGAGAACCATGTGAGGAGCTTGGTGGCTCATATGATCCTTGTGGAGTATAAGTAGAATTTGCGCCTGGGGCGTATCTCGAAGATGCCTTGGTTTGTGGTGGTTGAGTTGCTGACATGATTCCGTTAATGCCCAAACCTCCACTTCCATTATATGAGCTACCATAAATATCGGCAACTGACGGTGATCTGCTTATAGTTGGAGTACCACCAGCAATGCGTGCGAATGGACCAATATCAGCCTGACTTCCAGCATTGGATATAGTATCGGTAGTATCCTGTTCGTCACCAGCAACGAATTTATTGAATGTTGCCCATACGGAACCAGAGACTTTATCAATGCTAGGTTTTGAGATCCAAGACCCGTTTTCATCCTTGGGTGACGATTTTAATCTGTTGCTAAGATCATCAAGAGATGAAACTAATTGACCATGATGATATGGTGATCTTCTTGTTTGAGAAGTGATTGTTGAAGCAATACTCTCACAGTATTCTAAAGCTTTTTGTCGATGTCCATACTCTGCTAAGACTGCAGCATGGTGTAATTTGTAAACTGCCAAATGAGGGTTGGATGTCACGATACTAGAAGTATTCGAGAGCGATAGTCCATACTCATAAACTTCACTAAGAAGAACTGGTTCCAATTCCCTATCGAAGTCAAATGGTTGTCTCAAATGATCAGAACCAATTAGTACCACATTTGTACTTGGATCATCAATTCCTCCAAATACAGATGAAGTCCTGGCAAATAGGTAACAAATATGTGCAGCTTCAGCTCTGCCATAACCGGAAAGAAGTTTTCCTAATGCAGCTAAAGCTTTACTGTCATCTGTGCTTCGGTTACTTAGAACAAGACCAAGTGTCTCACGCCATCTATCAAGACCTTCAAGTGCATCCTTCGAAGAAGTCAATGATGTAGATGTGCTGACCATTTGAAAACCGGCACGAGCAGATGGTGGGACGAGCTCGTCGATACTTTCTTCAAAATTGCCAGCAAATATCTCATACAAGGCAGCAAGAGGCTCAGTGTTATCACCAACGTTCTTCACCTCTTTTTGTACGAATTCTTGGGCAACTTGTTTGTAAAGGTCCTTTGACACAGTGTTTGAAATGAGCATTGCATGTGCCCAGAGTCGTTTATCAACAGCTTCCCAAACAGCTTTCTCTCGATCTCCTCTCAATAAATGCTTTCTCATGCGATCTACAGCAGCAGGGTCGACGGGATCAGCCGTTGTTGGATTGGTGGATGACGATGAGATGCCAGAGAGATCTGCTCCGGTTGCATATAATGGCGATTCTTGACCAACCTCATTGTCGATACCTGGGGAGAGGACAGCTCTAACAGCTTTCTCAACAATAGGATTTCCTTCCAAAATACCGTCATTCTCGATGAATACTTGTAGAATCTTCCAGAGAAGTAAACGTTCCTCAGTACGTTTGTCATCATGAGACAGAACTTGGAGAGATCTTAGGTACGATGCACTTTGCTCCAAAATTTCTATACCAGATGCCAACCAAGATATAACTTCCTTCTTCTTTGCTTTCCCCTTCAATGGGCCAGGGAAGCTTGTCAACCTGTTTTCTAATGGATCAAGGTCTTTAACATTTCGGACTTTTACTTCTCCAGGACTTCTAACAACCATGGGTGTTGTTGAAGTCATACCGTATCGAGGTACATCTACGGGGAAAGATGTAATCATGGTACCCCCGACACCCCAGGTAAATACAGGACAGCCTTTCCATCTTTGCAAAGAATCATGTTCACGGCCATCTATGGGGGCGACGTAGTTAACCAAGGATGGCGCCCTGAGACGCCCAGGGGCGTGAAATGTTGGTTGAGTAGGGGTAAATGCGGATGCATTTCTAGGGGATAGAGCCTCAATAGAAGCTGGTCTTTGATATGGTTCAGGAATACTCATTTCAAGTCGAGATCCACCAAAAGCTCTACCAGGAGATTGTGTTTGGGATCTTGGCGGTGGGACGAAGCCATGAGCTGGAGGTGGGCTCAGGGTATTAGAAGAATGCTGTGGCATGTATTGCGATGGCGACGATCTTTTCGGAGGTGATCTAGCCATACGAGCAGCAATGCTTGAGTTGGGGGGTGACGTTTGAGAAATCGAACTCATTCCTTGTGTAGGTGAAGCAAAAAACTTTGGCTGTTCACCATATATCGGCGTTTGCGGTATGCTGGCATCATTTTCATCGAGCTCTCTGGTCGGTGGAAGTGGATGTGCCCTCAATATAGGCTCATATCCCGAGGAGCTACGACGATCATAATTTGCGACCTCGCCACCAGGACCATGCCCGCGCGCATCTTGGCTTCTCTCAAAGTGAGCCAATGGACTTGAAGTTCGAGGTAAATGTGGTAATATCGCTTGCGGCGGTGATTGAAGATGGGCTGATGGTGATGGCGCATATTGTGACCGTGGTTGAGGCGGAGCAGGAGAATATCTAGCCTGTATGACTGGTACTGGAGCGCTTGTTGAATGTTGTAAAGGGGGTGGCGCCGGAGAATATCGTGATGTTACAGAAGGTACAGAGGTTTGTAATTGTTGACCTGCCGATGCAATAGAAGCATAAGGACTTACACGCTCAGGGGCTATCAAGCCACCTTGAACCATTGGAGGTGATTGCATGGGTGGCTGAAGGGGTGATGGTTGTCGCATGGTCGCTTCTTGATGAATTGGTGTCGAATAAGGAGGGTGGGAAGAAGCGGGTGGGTAGTTTTGTGAATGCACAGCATTGATTGACGGAGTATATTGAGAAGGTGCAGGTGTCGTTTGGTGTCGAGGAGCAGCCTTGGGTCTGGAAAGAATAGGAAGATCCTCGAAGAAACCACTATCCGCACCGGACTTCGGTTTTTGAGCACTGGACCCAGCAGGAGGAGTATTCATCGCAGATTGCTGTTGTTGCTGCAGAGGATAGGCACTTGGTGGTGGGTTGTTCAGACTGGCAGCTCTGGGAGGGGCTGGTGGAGCTGATGCATTATATCCACGATTCATTTGATTTGTGCTTACTCGTTTACGAGGTTTTACAACTTCCATTGGCAAATCATAAGGAGATGCGTAACCCCCTTTAGCTTTGTCGGCAAAACTTTGAGCTTTAGGTAATTCAGGACGTTGTTGTACTGGATAACTCCCCATAGCGACAGCAGGGTTGAATGACAAAGAAGTTTCTGGAGTAGTATTCGATCTCGAAAGGTCGGTCAAGAATGGTGCAGCCGGTGCAAAAGGTTTATTGGATTGTGGCTGGGTGGCCGGAACTGCCTCTGCTGGTGTATAGCGACTACTAGTAGCTTGTGGTTTCGTTCCATTAGCATCGAATGCAGTCACGTGATTATTCAAGCCATCGACATCTGTGGTTTCTTCGACATCATCCAAGAATCCTTCATCATCACTCCCAAAAAACGCGGCTGGATCAACAGCCTTGTCGTTGCCGTTAGCATCCTCATCCTCATCTGGTAAGAGCTCATCATCATCATCAAGAAATTCATCGTCTAGGGCGGCTTGCCACTTGGCAGCCAAATCTTCACTACTGGTCTCACCAGCCTCTCCGCCTAAGGTCGCCGGGAATTCGGAATCAGGCCCGTCGAATGCGTCTTGAAGGGCATTTTTTGGGATATTTTCATTATCCATGACTGGATCCGGGACAATAACCTCTGTTTCGGAAAGTTCTGATGTTGCCTCTAGCGTTCGATCGTCTTGCTGAAAATGTAATGAATCCATAACTTGCATAGTTGATTTTCTTTCAAGTGATGGTTGACCTATATCTAAGTGTTGAGGAGCTGATTTATTGCTTTTATCAAAAAAGCCGTTTTCTTCTGCCGTACCTTCAGTATGTGTAAACATAGAGTGATCTGTGTCAGCGACAGGAGTTTGCGCTTCATCAGAAGGCTGTACAAGTGGGATTCCTTCTTCAAATCGTGCGCGAGATTCCTCATCCTCTTCTTGTTCGACATCTCCCCCGTAAGATTGACCATAATCTGGTAAATATCCCAATGCAGGTTGTGTTTCTTGGGAATCGTGTACGTCATTGAAAGCATCGCCCGAGCTCTGTTGTGTGAAGAAGTCCTCTTCAGCATCATGCGCCTCATCGAAGAACGTGTTATGTGGTGACTGTTCCACCTCATTCATGATATCCTCGACTTGAGAATGTGGTATCGAGTGTAAAGTTTCTTGTTCGTGAGAAGGAGGGACGATAGGAAAGGAGTTTGTTCGATCGGATTTAGGCATCATTTTGAAAGGATCTGTATTCGTACGCGATAAATTCCATTCGGGATCTACTTCATCATCTTCACCCCAATTTACTTCATGCGATGTCCTTGCGAATGAATTCGTACTGACGTGTTTACTATCATTCGAAGGACCGGTGGTTGGAAAATCCGCTTTGACTTCTTGGGCGACATTTGTTTCCAGTACTTCTTCGTGTGATGGACTCTCATCCATTTCTACACCTCCAGGACTTCTCAACGATGATGTGAGCGCGCTTCGCAGATCTGTTAATTCGAAAGGTTCCGCGTCTCCTCTCATAACATCCTCCTCCACGTCCGGCCCCTTCCACGCATCCGAAGTCTCGTCCAATGTTGTGTCATTTCCAACCGTTGGTTGTTCTCCATTCACTGGATGATCCGTAGGCTTGAGTTCGGCAGCGGGCGGGTGCGCATCTGCAATTGGTTGTGAAAGAGTTTCCGAAGTAATTATATCTGCAGCAGCATTCGGCATAAAGGCAGGATGCCATGATTGATTCCCTGGTTCCGAGGGCATCGCGATTCTCTTCGTATCCTGGGAAAAAAGAAATGAATAATACTATACCAAAAGACAACAGATTAGTAAATATATAGAGTCTTTTTGGCAGTAACATGTATCATGAATCATAGACTGAGTTGTATGAACAGAAATGCCAATGGATATCAAAGTCAACAATCGATCAATCAATACTCACTTATACAATGGATCTTAGGAATCGCTTTCCACTACAAAAACAAAAGCAGATTAAAAGAATGATATATTCTGGATTGAGAGTTGATTCATAACTACAAAAAGGTTGGATTTTATTCTTTTATTTTTTGTGAAGAAAGTAATGGAGAGAACAATTAATCAAATCCCCATATGATTCTGGTTGAAATGGATTGATGTTTTAATGTAAAGGTGGTAAAATGGACTCGGACAATTTCCAAAGGCGACCTGGCTTGTGAGGCCGTGGGGAGAAGGCTGAGAGAAGGCTGAACTCCGGGTTGAAGCTCTTCCGTTCCGTGACAAGTAGTGAGTGAGGCCAGATATTGATATTTAACGAATCATGTGGGAGAATTCTGATATGGGTATGAACATGGCCGTACCTACCTGGTTAAGTACGAGGGAGTTTATTGATTTATTGATTTATTCGTTTATTGATTTATTTTATCAATTCATGAGGCATACGATACTTAGGTAGAATGTAATGAAAAATAACCGAACGAAGCTCATAGAATACACCTCATTGTGAATAGACTCATTATAGCATTATAGTCATTGAAGGGGGCAAGCCTCCAAACCCCCATAGCTCGCTGCGCACGAAGCTCTACTTGTTAGGTACACACCCTGCAATAGTCACGATCAAACGATTGCTTTTTTCGAGTGATTAGGAGAAGCAAATACTCAAGTAGTCTGCCTCCACGGCAGTGGCACCCGGAGGGCCAGCGGAGCGTCATTCAATCAATAGAACGATACTAACTATAGATTCAAAGTGAAACATCCTCTTGTGAATCTAACGACGACATGGTTGACATGATGATAAATATGTGTGTAATGGATAATGACTACCTGGGTAGATGCTATATAAAATTACTATATTTGTTCTTATCGCTTGCCAAGATACCTACAAGCCTGCCTACCTGGGTAAATACTGGTAGATACTGGTAAATACTGGTAAATACTGGTAAATACTGGTAAATACTGGCAAATACTACCAAATATAACGCTTATTAGACTGTAACACGCTAGAATTCAATAATGTACAGAGTACGAGTATTTCGGTGCTGTATCCATGCAGCTACAAGGCTACCCAGTACCTTGTAAATATTCAACCCAATACTGCATCGGCACTCTTCCTACGAGCATAACTTTAATCATTGGCGACGCTGATTTCGTGGCTGAGACTTCCCATAAGAAAAGAAAGAAAGAAAGAAGAAAAGGGTAACATAATAGATACAATTACTTTTACTTTTCTCCCCTTATTTTATGATCGCATATTATTCAACCGCATCAATGAGGTATGTCTTCGAGCTCTGCATATCACCATCAATCAAATCCACCAGACTCTCCTGTGGATGATGCGGATTCCGACCTTGAGCTGGACTTGCAGGAACTGGATCCAATAACTTCTCCAACTTCAAAATCATCCAATTCTTCTTCACACAATCAACAGAACTCTAGTAAAGAAAGGCGAGGTCCCAATATACCCTTAAGAAATCTGCGTATGGGTGGTTTGCGAAATTTTGCTAGAAATAGAGGTTATGGTGATTTAGGAAGAAACAGGGATGTCGATACAGATAGTGAGGATCTGCGAGGTTTATTAAATGACGATTTGGGAGGGGATGGTATGGGGAGGATGTCTGGAGGAAGTGAGAATGCCGTGGACGACGACGCACCTTTATTATCAGGAGATGGAAGTGGGAGTGGGAGATCTCGAAGAGGACGTCGGTCAAGCTTCGACAAAGTAAAGAATATATCATCACAAATACGGCTTCCAAGCTTCTTATCAGGAAATAACCCTTCGCAGCCACGGCCAGAAGAAGGTGAAGAGCAAGACGACGAACATGATCCAGCTTCATCGAGAACAGTGCAAGTTGGTGCCACACAAACTTCACGATTTCCTCCTAATGCCGTTTCGAATGCGAAATATACCCCGATTAGCTTTTTACCACGAACTCTGTATAACGAATTTTCTTTCTTTTTCAACATGTACTTTTTACTTGTCGCTTTATCTCAAGCGATACCACCTCTGCGAATTGGATACCTCTCAACATATATCGTGCCTTTAGTATTTGTTCTGGCGATCACCCTGGGGAAGGAGGCTTTTGATGATATTGGAAGACGAAGACGAGATTCCGAAGCGAATTCCGAGGGATACACTGTTTTATGTTTCGATAAACCTTCAAAGGCGGACACGGATAAATATAGTGCAAGGAAGAAGTTGAAGTCCAAGGGAAAAGCAAAGAAAGGAAAACCTTTACTCCAACCGGATCGCTTGTCAGATATACAAGAAGAAGAGGAAAATACTCAATGCCAAGGACGAGATGCACCAAGTTCGAGTGTTCGTGAGGTGGTCCGAAAATCTAGGGATTTAAAAGTCGGGGATGTCTTGAAATTAGGAAAGGATCAAAGAGTACCTGCCGATGTCGTTATTCTGAAGAGTACAGCCAATGAATCTTCAGCTGCGGTATCACATGAACCTGCAGTGACCAATATAGTTGAGCCATCCGAGTCTTTACTGGTAGATCCAATATCTGATCCTTCAATTGATCAATCTACAGCCACTACTTCAGAATCTAGAGAGTCAACTTCTCAACTTGGAAATACACCTTCAGCAGATGCAGCAGGCGCAGGTGAAACCTTTATTCGAACAGATCAATTGGATGGCGAGACAGATTGGAAATTGAGATTAGGCTCTCCTTTAACTCAATCTCTTGACCTGTCTGAATTCATACGTCTCCGTGTTGTAGCTGGGAAACCCGACAAAAAGGTTAATGATTTCATCGGTACCGTTAGTCTTCTTCCCAAAGGTGCTAATGGGTATGACCCACATTTGCCAAAAGGGGGAGCGGACCCTGATAATAACGAGGAAGACGGAGATTCAGCACCATTAACGATTGATAATACTGCTTGGGCCAATACTGTTCTTGCCTCAAGTGCTACCACTTTGGCAGTCATCGTTTATACTGGACCTCAAACTAGATCAGCTCTTTCTACATCTCCATCTCGATCAAAGACCGGTCTTCTTGAGAATGAAATCAACTCCCTTACTAAAATCCTTTGCGCCTTGACACTCACACTATCTATTGTTCTTGTGGCGTTAGAAGGGTTTGAGCATGTTGAAGGAGTCAAATGGTATGTGAAAATCATGAGATTCTTGGTATTGTTTTCTACAATTGTACCCATCAGTCTCCGTGTAAATCTGGATATGGGAAAGAGTGTTTACTCTTGGTTCATTCAACGAGATCCAGGAATTGAAGGAGCTGTTGTTCGTACAAGTACTATACCTGAAGAACTTGGTCGAATTGAATATCTACTAAGCGACAAAACCGGAACACTCACACAAAATGAAATGGAAATGAAGAAAATTCATGTTGGAACTGTCTCATATGCGAACGAAGCAATGGATGAAGTCGCCTCCTATGTCAAACAAGGATTCTCGGTTCCTGTAGATGCCAATCAATCTTCAGTACTTGTCACACCATCATCTGTCGCTTCAACTACTGTTACCGCCACTCGAACCCGAAGAGAGATTGGGTCGAGAGTACGTGACGTAGTCCTCGCTCTTGCTCTTTGTCATAATGTCACTCCAACCATTGAAGAAATAAATGGTCAGGATGTAACATCTTATCAAGCTTCTTCACCTGATGAGATTGCGATTGTTAAATGGACTGAAGCCGTTGGGTTGCGGTTAATTCATCGTGATAGGAAAGGGATGCTTTTACAATCAGTCGATACTGGTCGTTCCGTCGTTCGTGTTCGTATTCTTGAAGTCTTCCCTTTTACATCCGAAGGAAAACGTATGGGAATCATTGTTCAGTTCCTTGATGGTTCTGAAACATCTTCGAGCAGTAATCTCGAAGCTGGAGAGATTTGGTTCTATCAAAAAGGTGCAGACACTGTTATGACTTCAATTGTCGCTGCAAATGATTGGCTTGATGAGGAAACTGCAAATATGGCCAGAGAAGGTCTTCGCACTTTGGTCGTTGGACGAAAGAAAATGTCTGTTCAAAACTACAAGGACTTTTCGCAAAGTTATAAAGAGGCTTCAGTTTCGATTAGCAACCGAGATACCGGTATGGCTCGTGTGGTTTCACATTTCCTCGAGAAGGACCTTGAACTTTTAGGTGTCACTGGTGTTGAGGATAAGCTTCAGAAGGATGTCAAACCTTCCTTAGAATTATTACGAAATGCAGGTATCAAGATTTGGATGTTGACTGGTGACAAAGTCGAGACTGCTCGATGCGTTGCTGTCAGTGCCAAGTTGGTAGCAAGAGGTCAATATATACATACTATCGATAAGCTCAGGCGAAAGGATAATGCTCAGGATCATCTCGACTTTCTTCGCGGCAAAACTGATGCTTGTCTCTTGATCGATGGCGAGAGTCTAGCTTTACTCCTAACCCATTTTCGAACCGAATTCATTTCTTTAGCAGTTCTTCTCCCAGCAGTCATTGCATGTCGATGTTCACCAACTCAAAAAGCCGATGTCGCAAAACTCATTCGAGAATATACCAAAAAGCGCGTTTGTTGTATTGGAGATGGAGGAAATGATGTTTCCATGATCCAAGCTGCGGATGTGGGTGTAGGTATAGTTGGAAAAGAAGGACGACAAGCCTCTCTTGCTGCAGATTTCTCCATCGAACAATTCTGTCATCTCACCAAACTTCTCGTTTGGCATGGACGAAATAGTTATAAACGAAGTGCTAAACTCGCCCAATTTGTGATTCATAGAGGTCTCATCATTAGTGTGGCCCAAACAATGTATAGCATTGCTATCAAATTCGAACCAGAAGGCTTATACAAAGATTGGCTGCTCGTCGGCTACGCAACTGTTTATACCATGGCACCAGTCTTTTCTCTAGTTCTTGATAAAGATGTTGACGAAGATCTCGCAAATCTTTACCCTGAGCTTTATAAGGAACTAACATCTGGCTCATCACTTTCCTACCGAACATTTTTTGTTTGGGTTTTTGTTTCCATTTACCAAGGTGGAATGATCCAGGGTCTTTCTCAAATTCTCACAGAAGTCGATGGGCCGAGAATGGTGGCAGTTAGTTTTACAGTATTGGTACTAAATGAACTCACGATGGTGGCTTTCGAGATAACGACATGGCATCCAGTTATGATAATCAGTCTGATTGGGACAGGTTTGCTGTATTTGGGAAGTATTCCATTCTTGGGAGGGTATTTTGACTTGTCGTTCGTTGTTACTTGGTAAGTTTTCTTTCTTCCTCTCATTTCTCCACCTTGCTGTGATAAAGACGCATCAAGGGATGAACGGGGCACGAATTACTGAACCATTGGGGTGCTGAGTTGTGTAAGTGAAGCTAATAAATTATCTAGGGGTTTTGTATGGAGGGTCGCGGCTATCTCGGCAATTTCACTCATTCCACCGTATGCTGGGAAATTGATTAGGAGGACGATCAAGCCGCCTAGTTATAGAAAGGTGCAGGGGATATAAGGAGTCGATGGGTGAGGATGGTGAAATGAATGATTTGATCGTATGCATGCATAGCAATGGCGTTTTGGAATATGCTAGGAAGATATAAAAAAATGAAATGAATGTACGGTAGTCGGATAGCATTCAAAATTATCGATATCACCTACAGAAATGGAATTTTTGCCGCACACTTCGGCAGTTCATCCCATCTTCAACATAATAGGTGAAATATGAAAGACAATATGGCAGCTTAATCCTTGAGGTTGATAGAGTTTGATGAAAGGTTTAGATTTATAATTTCATCCGATTCGATTGGATGTGTACCCATCGGCCAGATTCTGAAAGATATCCGGCGGCCGGTGGCAATTGTAGATGGGATATTGTGGTCATGCGGCAGTTGCGATGTTCCATGGGGAGGAAATGGTATGATTCATTACATCTCCTATCATTCCCAAACCAAACCAAGTCCTCATATTGTATTGTATCATATGGAATTTCCAGCCTCCATCTGATTCTACTCTCCGGTAAAGTTACGTTGACTTCTGTTCATTTCACTGAAAGTCCATTGAAAAGTCAGGTGTCTTTGCTTTATCAAATGTTCATCCCCCTCCCATAACAATCTAGCATGGATCTTTTGATGCCAGATCTTTGTGTCATCCATGAATGGCAAGGTTAGGATAAGGATAAATACTTAGTAAGGGGTAGCTCACACGCTATTACGAATTCGGACAATTTAACGATAGAATACTTTGATGCTTCGCAACGCCTTCCCAGAATGATCTAACCCTATAAGGTCACACTGAAAACTCAATCACTCCAGAAAATCAAAAAATAGTGAAATCTAGCTTGTTTACCTAACCACTGAGCACAAATCTCGTCCTCCAATCATTCAAACAGTGATAAGCACATATACTTGAATCACCTGACTCAACGACTAATTCCCCCCAAGTTATCCGGTGCAGCTTCTAGTCCCGCCTACCAGATTTTTAGTGTGTGCATTTCTATCTGGACGGGAGAATCGACGGTACATGAAATCTGGTCTTCCCACTGTGAAATTTTACATTCAAGCGCATCCAAAATATTACCTGAAGCACCTCAAACTTCAGACAACTCACCATATCGATATTGACGTCGATACTCCCCTTCAAACTTCAAGACTTCACATTATCGACGACAAGAGAATCTGTCAGTTAGTTCATACCCGCACCTATACTCTTCTCACTGTTGCTTATTGCTTCTTTAATATTATTTGCGTATCACACTTGTTAATTGTAGTGTTGTTATTAATTCGTAACCTGTATTAATGTAACTCCATGCTTTGCCACTTCCTTGTACGTTCATACTGACTGATGTATTATCGTTGCTAAATTTATCCACGTTGTTCTGTACATTCAAGCTGTAATATATAACCTTGTTGTCAAGTACATTCACATTGTTCTATGTATTCACATCGTCTAATGCAGTCTCTATATCTCATTTACTGCTACCATCTTATACATTAACTGATCTGTCATTGTCTAGAAGAAATGTGGATAATTACAACGCTTCGAACGGCTCCAATGCCGGAACTGGTCCCTCCGCTGCCGCCAACGATGAGGAACGACCAATTGTCTACGGCGGGGTCACTCTCGGTTACGCTAAGCGACCCGTCCTTAATTCCACTGACGCGGGCTACAAGGGTCTCTTGAGCGACTTTAAAAAGGGTTATCCCATTAAAGAACAGGTCACAGAAATCCAAAGAACGCGAGTTCGCGCAGTCACGTCGACGAGCAATTTGTTGAATCAAGAGAGCAAATAATTTTTAAAAACAAAAATTAATCTCTCGGTTCAACTTGTGTGTCGGTAATACCACATTCTTTTCTTTAGGATGCTTGGAAGCCGAAATAGAAAATCGACACGCGTTTTGAAAAAAATTCTGTCTTCAACAGTGATAATGAATGTATTTGTGTGAAAGTATGATCATCTCACGAAACGATGTGTTGTGTATCGTTTTCCCTAATTCTATTCGGCCCATTCTTATTATTTGACGAACGAATCTTGACCCGATACTTTATGGTATTGTTCTCGTTATTAACTCGCAGAATTGTCTTGATACCATCATCAGTAATATACTTAGTAGGTACAACTTTCTCTTTCTCAAATGGCATTGCACCCAAAGGTAAGCATGAAATTTGAAGTGATGCAATTTCTGTCCAGCGATAGACAATTTGACACTTCTACCCGAAACTGATTGTCAAAAAATCGAACTAGCTGGCTTTGTTGATGCCGACATTGTGCAGATCTGGCAGACGAAAAGTAGTGACTTGGATTGCGTGGAATAAAAACGCTTTCGATAATTTCGTTGCTTGAATACCAGGTAATACGTGTGAGGGATATCGCAGCACAAGGAGAAAAGTAGGACCGAGTGCCTAGATGCGCGCATTTAGTCAACGGAGTTAGAGTAGGAAGTTGAAGGATCAATTCTAGAAGGCATTGGGGTTTTCTGCATTCAAATGCATCGTGTTTCTGATGTAACTATTGGGGACGAAAAGTGTAGTGGTGAGGTAGATAGAGTTGCAATGTTATATCACAATTCTCACCAGAAATGTTGAGATTTGAGAATATAGAGAGGAAAGAATTCACACAATGTAAGACATTGAGATAATCAGATGAATGTAGAATGGATAATTAAGGATTTAAATGTAGCTGTCGTACCTTCCAATCGAATACTATATGAACCGTCAAGGAGCATGGACTCTTGAAATTCGCGGAAGGAACAGATTCGTAACTTGATCTATCTTCATTCACTACTATTTATTCACTAGGATCTGAGTGATGATGAAAATCAGTTTGAAGCCTCAAAACTTAAAACTTAGTAGTAATGGTAGGTGCATGCTTGCAGAGCAAGCCGTATATCCCCAAGTATTGATTCTTCAGTAAAATCGTACTATATTCTTTGTTTCTTTGAGTCAGAATATCATAAGTAACAATATCATTCAATATATGAGATCTTATTTGCATGAATACCAAGGCCGAATTAATTGAATTCTTGACATTCTTCTATAGCTGTCGTTTTCTTTTTAATTTTAAAGCTTTATTGAATACTAATAGATTGATTGATCTATATCAATCCATCCGTCTCCAACCCCACATCCACATTTACATTGTGTCTACTCTATATCTCTACTCTGTATTTGTTTTTATCGGAGGAAATAATTATCGAAAACCTTTCTAATCTTTTCTCAAATCTTCCTCACCCTTTTGTTTCTATATTCCTCCAATTATAACTTCTGTACCTCTACTTGGGTACAGCAATTTCTATCCAACATTCCATCCTCGCCTTTGGAACAACAACTATGATAAGAGCAGCTATGGTGAGAGAGAAGGAAGACCACAAAACGTAAGCAGACGTCACATTAATAGAATAACTATTGCGCAAAGCTAATTTTATATATTGAAGTCACCTGCATCGAGTCGCATCCTCAAATTTACCTATTGTACCTCGAAAGTCTTGGGAATACTATGTCGCAATTTTACAACCAGGAATTTCTTTGGAAAAATGTGAACATGGTGATTTTTTATGGATTAGGGTTAAGAGGGTGAATTCTATATCTATTCTTCATTCTGATTGTGTGACATGCTGATTGACATCTTATAGACAGTCACGATCGGAAAAATCCTGGCATCACACTTCAAGAGAACCGGTCGAAACTCGATTCTCATGGATGGCGACGTCGGGTTATCAATCGATGCCAAAATCGAGGATCTAAAATGTTTGGGACTTGGCGTATATGCATTCTGGGAGATTGTTAAGGTTGAGAAATGGTGGGAGTATAGAGTTTCATCGAAATATATTGATGAAAGGACGATGTCGATGAAGGAAGAGAAACATGGGGATTGTTAGAAAATACGCTTCCTTCAACTATGGCATATGAGGAAACTGAATTGATTGAACCTAGGGAACTCTTTCAGAATGCATCGACCAAACCTTATTCGATTGAGAAGAAAGAGGAATCTGGGAGCTTGTTGAAGATGACAGTTGCTTCCACCATGACGGCATATGAAGAAATGAGGGCTATTAAGTTCAAGCGCAAGACCAAGTCATCGCTGAGTGAAAAGAAAGATGAAAAGCCTTGGAGTTGGGAAACTACAGCCCCATCAATCATAAATAATACTGTAGGAGCAAGAGGAAAACAAACACTCACAGAGCTTTCAAAGAACAAGTCAAGCATGGCAGCCTCAGTTAAAATGAAAGAAGACAATTCCAAGGAGCGATCAGGAGCTACATCAACCAACAACATATCTTATGTTATTAAAGCAGGACAGAAACGGAAATTGGGAAAAATGACAAAAGGAGAGATTTTGAAAAGAGAGCTAGCTCAAGAGGATAGGGCTGAAATTATCAAACGTAGAAGGATAGAGTTGGAATCGGAAGATGCCAACGATAAGATCATGAAACAAATGAGAACGGAGTTGGACAAAAAGCTGGATCTTATGAAGTCGAAAAACGAAAAGGCACCAGCGATCAACTTGCTAAAACCTTTTGCTGAAAACACAAAATTGGATTTAAAAAGACACGATGATTACGTCGCCAAACAGCGAAAAAACATGGAGGCAAGTTCCCAAAGATTCGGGAAATTGCAGTTTAAAGAGATTCTCAAACGATTCGAGATTTCGTGGGAACGACAAAGGCAAGACATCACCAATAGAGATCCACAGTTCGAACAGAGTGTTAAATCTGAACTTCAAAAGTTAAAAGGAAAGATTACTTCGAAAGTTCAAGACCACGGCTCCCTCGAATCCATTCTCAAAGAGAGAGAAATCCACCTTGACCTTGAAGCTATCCAGAGACAACTCGACATGGCAAAACGCGAACACCCACAATCAAAAATTACTCTTCGCTATTTTAGTAATACCGTTCGCTTGGAGTGCGCATATTGTCCCAATATCGAGATTCAAATGGGGCTGAAAGACTCTCGCAATGTTGCTGGAATAGTAAAAAGACATCAAACATCAAAGGGTCACACGGACAATCGATATAACGAAGCTCAGAGAAAACAGGGGAGCGAACAGTCGAAAAACAATATCTAGGTTCAATATACAGCAGTTCTGCGGCCGAAATCCAGGCGCTGGGACTGTCAACCGGAATGAATCTTAGATTTGAACGGAGTTCAAGGATTGTTGTACACAAAGGGCTTAAGGTACGCCATCTTTCTGAATGCCAAACTTTCCGAAGGGCATACGATAAATTCTGGAGGGATTAGAAGGGGCACACTCCGATTTTGATCATCAGCTGGAGGCTCAGGCACAATAGTAGATGTGAATTTGGAAGACACGGGGTAAAGAGTCAAATTTATAGTGATTCAGCACTTTATGGTAGGATATCAGTATGAGTTGTCCTCCTCAAGCGAAAACTTCTCAGCGCAGGCCATTGTCGTATTTTCAATAATAAATGTATTCGATTTGGCCCTGATTCCCTTCATGTGAGACATAGAGTAACCTCTAGAGTATCAAAAAATCAAGTAGAAATGATAACAAGTCCCGGACTTCGGGGATACCCGTGAGATATGCAAGGTTCATTAAAGTATTTCCCCCTAAACAATTATATCTGTCACCATTGAATGTTTCATTATCGTAAGGGGATATTTACTCATGGAGTCTATTATTAAGGCAGATTTTACGGTAACGTGCGCAGCCAAATGAGATTTATTGATCCTAATTATCTTTTTTTTATTGTGAAAGTGCCGAAGAGTGTCTTCTCACAATAATCTTCAACTTATTTATCAGAATCCGATAATCCCTTTTCCATTTTGTCAGCCGCGTCACAGGCTCCGTCGCGAATTTTCTCTTTGTCATCTTTCAAGCGAAGTCGTCCTTCTTCTCTCGTTCAAATGAATTGTAGAGAACACGATTTCTTAAAAGTTTCTTTATTCGCAAACTCTCCACCCTGTTTCTTTATCTCCAGTCGTTTGTAGAAAGTTTTGACGAATACATCGTAGTCTTTTGATATTTCTCGGGAATTTCATTCAATTCCAATTCCAGATCAGCCAGAGGTACAGGAATTCTACCCTTGTAAGACTCTTCTTCCCAAGTGATGTAAGGTTCTATTGACGTGAAACATTTTGTGGTCAATTTAGCATCTGTCTCCTCTAGTTTCCTTTGAACGTGGTCGATTAACTCATCGGTGGCCATGGCGGGATTTAGAACGTGGAAGAATAAGAGGTCTAGCAATTGTTCGTTACGAGATGATAATGGAACGGTGAGAAGTTGGGGAGCGATGACGTAGCGTACGAGCGCAGGCAGAATCCAAGGACAAAACCGAGCACGAAATAGAGAAGGTTGTACATTTTTCGGAATATCTCTCAGAGTGGTGATTGTGAACGGAGGGTGGATGAAGAGAGAGGGGATTTTTTGAAGTGTGAGTGGAAAAGATTTACGTGTTGCCGAGAGGGAGCTAAATTGAAATAATGACGTTGGGATTTGAACTAGTATCACATAATGTGGAGTCAACTGTTACTACTATGAGAAGCAGACGGAGAGGAGAAGAAAGGAGGTAGAGTATTGACAAACATTGGATTTATCTTGTGAGGTTTAAAACTCTAGTTGATAAAGTTAAGCTATTTTTAAATCACCCAAAACACGTCTGACTAACATATAAGACTTATTTCAGCCCCCTCCCCAAGTGTTCATAGTTGATACCCTTTTCATACTGTTCAGAAATCCTCACAGGATTGTAGTGACTAAACAACTCCATTGGATCATACTTCCTTTTCAATGCCTTCAGTCTCGGTAATTTTTTCGCACTATACCAAACTTCTTCTCCTTCATCCCGACCATAATTGATGTAGACCCTCAAATCATCATAGCCACTAGACGCAGCCATCTCCGCTTGGAAAGAAGCACCAAAAGCATTTATAGCATCATCTTGCGAATCATCATTTATTTGCAAAGCGAAAAAAGTATAGATTGTGGTATTCCTCCACGGATATGCCGTTTCATCGTCTGGTGTCGAAAGAGTTACTGAATTGGCGAATTTTTCAATTGACCAAACGCTCGTTCTTGATGAAGGAAAATCGGAGTAAAAGCGTGCCAATTTTTGAAGCGTCTGAGTGAATGCTGGAATAGAGATGGTGTAAAGATTTACGGCCCAATTACTACTTACTGCGCCGCGATCACAACTAAAACTCCCGCTGCCGGGAACAGATGAGCCGTAAATGCTGGTCCAGGGGATTTGAGTTATGATTTTTTCAATGGGGTTGAGGGATAAAAAGGAGGAAAATGCAATGAGGGCTTCTTCCATGGGTCCAATCCATTTTGCGTTTATTATGATGTTGAGCTATTTTGCAGGAGCGATGTTAGCTTTTGAAATAATCTTAGCCTACAACAGACTTACACCACCGAATTCATCATTCCAATTTACCTGAAAGGCCAATGACATTTCTCTGGGTTGGTTACTTCCAATATCCTTCATTATTTCCCACAAAGATGCATTATCGCTTGAATGGAATCGCATGGTCGCTACTATCAGCTCTCCATTATTGGTGGCATCATTTATTCTGTATGTAGCCTCATAAACAACACCAAATTGATGACCAGCTCCTCTGGCTCCCCAGAAAAGTTCTGCATTCTCTGTTTGAGATGCTGTGATCAATTCGCCGGTCCCGGTGACATATTTAACCTCTAGCAGAGCATCAATTACGAGACCGTGAAGACCAGTATATGGTCCGAGCCCTGCACCCAATGTTGCTCCAACAACACCGACGCATTCTGCTAATCCTGTTTCTTGAGAATGTCAGAGTTTGCTAGTGATTAGTGTATGAATATCTTACGAATCTCTTTTCCAACATCAAATAATGGTTGTATGAGTTCCCCGAATTTAACCGATCCTCCAATTGTGATGGTGCTTGCTTCTTTGTCGATTTTGATATCGTGGAAGTAACCTAAATCGATGTCGATTCCATTCTTACAACTGTGTAGTGTTGTCGAATATCCATGTCCTCCCCCTGTTGCCATAAAAGGGATGTTGTGATTTGATGCAAATTCAATCTGAAAAACGTTATCATCAATTAATAAAGTATCAGCCTTGGTGTTTCAATTCGCATTGTTTCACATTTCACGGGAAACACGTTGATATTGACGAGCAGCATGAATGATGAAGACTTAGAAACCTCTAGGCACAAAGAATACAACTCACAATAATTTGAATATCAGAGGGCAGTGCTGGCTTCAAAGCAAGAATATATGTAGGCTCGGCTGGTGGATAGATTGTCCATCTTTGAGTTATTGCGGAAGTGTAATTGGCACTACTGGGAAGCCAGACTTGAGACCCAGGCGAGAGAACCTCACTGAAATGAGCTGCCAATGCGTCTTCACTGAAGTTATTGAAGGCAAGAGTTTGATGAAAGAGACCAAACAGGAACGTAAGAATGTACATTTTGAACATCATAATTGGATGTGAGCTGGGAAAGGACGTCGCGAAAAGATAGGAAGGGAAGACTAAAGATCGATTGGAGATCTCGGTATGGGAGAAGGCCATGTCTAACCATGCAATTATACGGTATTCTTTTGATTCTCCACAGTTTAATTATTTGTACACTTGTAACCGTTGCGGCATTATGGTCTATTGGACAACTTCACAAATGACTACCATCTTGTGCTCGCTGAGGTTGAGAAACGCGGAACAGAGAAAAGCGAGTCGCCGTCATCAGGGGACAAGTTTCTGATCTGGAGTCACAACATCTCTGCCAATTTCCTTTTGGTCGGGTACCACACGTAACCATCTGCTCCTGAGCGAGCCACCCTCTATGTTACGTCGATACGTTTGAACAAGGACATAAGTCTCGGGGCTCTTATACTCATTATCACGCGTGTTCATGCCCAAGATCTTGCTGCAGGCTGGATAGATTCAAAAGAAATGTTGACATTGTGGTCGTTGGTTTTGTTACACGAGAAAAATGTCAGGTACAGAAAGGGGAGCAAGATTTGGTATCGGCCTTCATCATATTTCCGTGCCGACTTCAGTCGCTTACGTAATAGGATCATTCATCTAAGTGTAAACAGAACATTGTATATTAGAACTAGAGTGCACCTACAAAACTAAGAAGCATTCCATCTACCCTCTTTACTTCTCATTTTCACAATCTTGATAGTATCTCGAACAAGAAATCATATCCTGGTTCAACACCCTGCCTCCACTGTTCCATACCCGGCCTCAAATTCAAGTCATGAATATGTTTTGCACAAGAGACCCCCAAGAAACCAGATCGTACTCCATGCTCCTTCAAAGCAGTCACGAATTTCTTCGCCGTATAAAATGGAACAATCTCATCATCCTCGCCATGAATTAAAAATGTTGGTGTGGTGTATATACCAGATAGGAGTTGAGCCATAGGACTAATGAACGCGACGCGTTCTGGATCCGGTTTTCTACACCAGTCATCATCAGAGATACCATTCAGCATAACACTAAGGCCATTCCCTTCTTTAAAAAGAGACAAAACAAGCTCGGATCTCGGATCTCCTGGACGAACCCATCCTAGGCCTGTTGAATCGCTACTCTCAGCATCATAATTTGTGATCTAATCCCGTGTTAGTTTATCATCGCTCGATTCAAAATGAAGAAATTTCTCACCGGACGCGTTGAGAGGGATTTTTTAATCGTGTCTAAGGATAGCTTCCTTCCGGGGTATTGATTCACACGACTTATATCTAAATCTGCTGACATTAGTTTACGATCATTTTGATTTCACATCTGCTCACTTACCTCCCGCTTCGAAATCCGTTGGACTATAAAATGCCAATATTGCACAAGGAGGTTCTAAGCCAATATTCTTCGTTGTCCATGCGGTTGTCATTGCCAAATGACCTCCTGTTGACCAACCAATCATGACAATCTTGTTAGGATCTATTTTGATTCCTTTATCACTCACAAGCCCTGGCAGTTTTGTTTTAGCCCAAACATAGGCATCACGGATATCTGCTATGGGACCATTGATAAGATCTACCTCTGGGCATAATCTGTAATCTAAACTGACTGGAATTATGTTATTCGCAAGCAGAAATGATGTTTGAGCTGGACGAATGGCTTTCCTCGATAACGTCATGTGCCCGCCGCCATGGATCATCAAGGCTAAAGTTAAATAGTCAACTTATGAACAGCCGTGAAAGGGTGCTTTGATATTACCTTACCTATAGGCATTGGGTTGATCGACGCCATTTCCGGTAGGAAGATATCCGCCAGTACTTTAACACCGTCAACAATTTTATAAGTCACCGTGTCGATTTTTTGACCCAATTTCGACCGCCTCTTTGTAATGTCTTCACGACTTGGAGTTTTCAAGAGCTTGGTAGAAGCGACAAGGAGACGCTGGGTATTGGAATCTGTTGTCGGTCCTTCCGTATACGAAGCTGAAGCAAATCCCGCCTTTTTAAAGCACTCCATCCAAAAGTCTGGTGGTTGAAGTGGATAATCGGTGTCATTTCCTAACCACCAACCATCAAGAAGTCCATATACGACATCATACCAATCAATGAGCTTCGTAACTTCAGAGAGAATCACAAAGCCGCCCTCTCTCAAAGTTTCCCTTAAATGACTAGTCGAAGAAGTTTTGTTAGTGGTTGCATGGACACAATTTGTTCCTATGGCGATGTCATATTGTCCTCTCATATTTGCTGAAATACCATTTTCAAGGTTGAAAGTTTGGAACTTCATCCAATCATACCTCGAAAATTTTGCCTTGGCATTTTTCACAAGTGAAGGAGAAATATCTGTGAAAGTATATTCAACCGGTCGACCAACTTCTTGAAGGGCTTCTGCAAGTCGTGTGGTGGTTCCACCGAATCCAGCTCCAACCTCTAGAATTCTGATTGGTTCATGACCGGTAGTGTTGATCACGATTTGTCTCATGAAATCGACCAATTGCTCAGTGAGAGTACCAAGCATAGGCGAAGTAGTATAATAGTCTCCCATTATCCTCTGTGCTGCCGGGTTACCAAACATTAACGCAATAGGATCAACTTTTCCAATCAAACAGCTCGCGAGTTTTGGACCGGTTAATTCCATTAGTCTCGATTCTGCTGCGTATGCAGGATGTTGTCGCAGCAAGTTTTGAAGCAAGTCATTCGAACTCATATTGGAAAGTCGTCTTGAGGTTCGAAAATATTTGCTGCCTTTCTTTTCAATTATCCCTCCCGTCTGCAGAATTTCCATATATCGGGCCATGACTTTCGAATATTTCGGAAGATAAGTGATATCCGGTAACTCTTGCCCATTGCCAAGTTTCCATAAATCGACATCAAGTGTTCTAAAAGCCTCTGCAATGTATGTTATCAATAATTCATCTTGTTTTGGACCAACTTCAGACCAATAATTGACATATCCAAGCTTCTTTGCTGCAGGTTCAAAAGCTGCTTGACATTTCTCAATTGTGTCCATGGGGTTCGCTAGAACTACCGATAAACTTTCAAGAGCTCTTTCAGAACTGTTTGATAAGCTCGTGTTGCCGTTTGAAATTACAGTGATAGGCTTTTGTTGTTGTTGGATCGGCTCAAAGCCGAGATACTTCAATACTTCTTTGACTGTTGACTCTGGACTGAGATTATCATCATCAATTTCGATCGAAAAGGCATCTTCGAGCTCACTTTTCAACTCGACAGCCGAAAGTGAATCAACACCAAGGTCTTGCAGAGCCGCTGAATCTCGGATTTCGTCAATTGGAGCTCCACATATTCCAGAAATTATTTGTAAGACCTTTTTTCTTTGTAGTGAATTACTGTCATGCTTAGGAGTGTATTCGGGTATTTGTTGAACGATCTTAGATGGCGTTGTTTTGACTCTTATAGGCTTTGATTTCCTCGATTGTGGTGTAGAAACAAAAATTCGGAGCAAACTTGCGTAGCTGCTCATCATAAGATCCTCAGCTGCAATTTCTTTCCCAAATTTTGTTTGCAGTTCCTCAGCGAGTTCAACGGCTGCTAGTGAATCTATCCCAAGGTCACCAATACTCGCATCATCAATAACTTCCGCATCAGGAAGACCTGTATATGATGCAATCAAAGTTTTCAGATTGTCTGCCCCTGACACAAATCCCGCAGGTGTAGGTGGTCCTTCATCATCAGAATCATCAGTGCTACTTCTCGAATCATTTTCGGTTGGTGACGCCGGAGTTGTGATGGGCGTTAACGTTCTTGTGAGCTTTCTTTCCAGTGGTGCATTATTCGATACTTTCGGATTTGCTGCAGCAAGCATTTTCTCGAGCTTTGTTATCAATAACTTTGTGAAACCGAATCCAGTGCTGGCCATTACCAATTTTCCATCCCGAGTGAAAACATAGATATCACCAGTGGCTTGGGTGTTGCTTGTCGGTGTGAACATGGCATACACCGTCCAAGACTTGCAATCTGCGAAATTGCATGATGAGGCAGACATGATTGTGCTGTCAACACCAGTAGCAACATACACTTCATCAGAGGAGCAGTGAGAGCTACTATTGATAAGTAAACCAACAACTTGAATAAAGGTATCCAAAGCGATGGTGTCGCAGATATGATTAATTGTGCTTTCTTGCACTTCAACAGGGAAAGTAGGCAACTCAATATCTGCAATTGCCTGATTTCCATCCATTATGATATTTGAAATCCCATGTAAGAAATCCGAATAGTGTACAACTGTTGAGAAAAGACCGTATGCTCGTTTGGAAAACAATTTTTCAGTATCCGGTTGCTTAACCAATGCGTTGATACGATCCGATATAAGTCTCTCATAAGTTGAAAGTTGTGCTTGAGTGGTTAAACCAATCATTCCCTTTGCGTGTATCGTGGACCTAGATTTTGAGTCGGTCTTCAACGAACTCTTGACTACAAAGGTCCAGGTCTGTGGTTCTGAGGACTCCTCCAATAACAAGGACACTTCTCGGTCCATGTCAACACCAAGAGGAGCTTGAAAAGTCAAGCCATCAAAGAATATTGACTTTGTTTCAACATCAGCACCCGCAATCTGCAATGCCATCGCTGCACACTCCATATACATCGATGCGGGGCATAATGGCTGTCTTCTAACTGCATGACCTGATACAATTTTAGTGAATCGTTCGGTATCAATGTGGATTCTGTATTCTCTTCGCGACCCGTCCTTTGACGTCACGAGCTGTTTGGGAGCTTCAATTTGGAGTTCTTCTGCAGGCTTGGAAGTAGTTGAAGAAATCTTTTCTTGAGCTTCGATCACTCTATCTATGTTTTCCAACCAGTGTGGTGTACGTTGAAATTGATATGGTGGAAGCCAGATTTGCTTGTATCCTGCCTCTTTTGACGGCGAAAGAAAGTCCCAGAAAGATACCGGGATGCCTTCACGCCAAAGGTTTGTCGTGATAGTCGAGAGTACAGCCATTGAATCTTGAGAGTTTCTGAACTTCATCTCTTGGAAACAATGATTGTCCG